CATCCCCATAATTTTTAAAAATCCCGTGAATAATTTTATTAAAATGTATCGAGTATTCGAGTATCTATAGTATCGCGATATTCCAAAGAAGTATCTAGTATCTTGTGTCGCGATACCTACTCCAAAGCCAAGTATCAAATATCTAGTATCTCGATACTCCTTTTTGAGTATCTTGCCCCACCCTGGGTACAGTCATGATTACTTTACCTAAACCTATATCTACCACAAAGCATTTATATTTAATATCAACAATAGATATAGTAATACTTTCAGACACTAAGTTGATATCTTCTAAATATAAACAAATTGCTTCAAGCACGGTTATAGATATTAAACCGTGTAGAAAAGATGTAATAAATTATTAAACTATATCAAAAAAAAATTTTATAAGAAAAATAGTAAAATTTGTATACAATTGACATCAATTAAAAATTCATATTTTAATAAAAAAATTTTCGGACATTAGTTTGTACCCCCCCCCCTCCATCTAAGTAAAAACAAATAGTAGGTGAGCTCCGTCCCCCTGTGCACCCCCCCACAATTCGAACACTGCATAATATAGTTACATTCTTTTAGTGGGTTAGATGGTGTATAAATACACTTATAAGTTATAGGTTGGTATTTTCAGCCGATTTTTTATAGGTTTGTTTTGTATTATTATTTTCGACCCTAATGCTCGTATAATAAGTGTAGTTATTTACTTATACAAGTACAAGTTTCGAAGGTAATTATAGTTATTTATAACTGTTTATGATATTTTAAATTCTGAGCCGAGCGATGAATATATTATTGATTTTACAATAATAAATAATAATAGATGTGTTTGTATTTTTGTGTCTGTCATTCTCCTCTGAAGTATCAAAATGAAGGGGCGTCAGTTCAGGTTTTTTTTCACGTGTGTCCTTTTTTTTTGTGTGCACTGTGCAAGGTTTCAAACAACCCATATAAAAGTAGACATAAGTATATTTATGTATATATTTATACATATATATAATGCGTATACTATCCTGCTTTTAATTTCTTTAAATTATAATGGACTGCAACATAGGCGTAACTGGACCTTAAATTAATTAGGGTTTCAGGCTTAGCATTTATATATGTAATTAATAAATTTAATATAGAAGATTTAATATATCTCACACCCCCAAAAACATGTTATATTATTAATTGTTAATTAAATATAATATACAATAATTAGTGTTTTATTTTATTACTATCGATAGTGTGTGTCGTATATACGAATCATAAAAAGTGGAATTGCATTGGTAAAATTTTTTTATTTTTTTTATGGAATGAGTGATAGTTAAAGAATTTATAAATGAAACATAATAATAATACACATACACAAGTAATTACAATTTCAAAATCTAGGTATTTAATTAGTTACCACGAAATTCATCAATACATCACCAATGCGATATTCAATCACAATTCAGTGTTACTTATACATATTTTCATTTTTTAAAATTAATATTGATGTTGATAATTGACAGGTTCGTTTAATATGCTTTTTTGGATACTCGTATATTAACTCTTATTTTAACTATTTAAATCTTGAAAATCTATTTTTAATTTATCCTCTGAAGGTTCAATAATTAAATTATCATATGATTTTAGAATAAAATATTATTCTATTATTAGTCCTGATTTTACAAGTGCGTCAAATTTTACCTTTAAAAAGTTATTTAAATTCCTCATATTTTAAGGCATGAAAATTATTTTTTTCAAATATATTATTATTACAGTGCAATTGTTTTTTTTATAGTAGGAATTCTGAACTAGAAGTTCTTAGTTTATAGTAAATTGTATTAATATAAAATGCATTTTATAATACGTTTGTTATTTTTTAATTCCTATTTTTTTTTTTTTAAATGAACAATTTGGAAAAAATGGGATTTCTTATAAAAATCAGTTATTTATAAGATTTAAAACTGATTATCAAACTGTGGAGCCTTGAATATTTCACCAAAAATTCCCCTCTTTTTGTGCTATTTGTATAGGTATTCTATTTTTTAAGTTTAAATCCATGTTATATTGAATGATTAATAATTAATTAATATACAATGAATTATTAATGTTCAAGGTGCATCATATTACAAAATATATGTTTCACTGTAAAATGAGTCACTGTTTAATAAATAATTAGGTACCATATTATTATCTTTCCTCGAACCAAAATATGTTAGCTATATTTTGAAATCTTATAGTATGCTGGCGCAACACACGGATCATTGGATAGCCATCACTTCAGTCGCTGTAGTTATGTAGTATTGAATATTATTGAAGTACCTAACAGTGCAATACAACTGCATCATAATAGTGAATGTTGGTGATAGAAATAACTATAGATAATAATATTATGATTTATGAATTATGATCATGTAGTTGAACCAATACGTATGACGCTGACGTCATGTGCGCAACAAATACATTGGAGTCATAGATAATAATATACAATAATATATTATAAATTATAATCTATAATTGAAATTATTGAAGTTCCCGATATTCGCGAATTATACTGTTACCACGAATTAAGATATTTTATTATTATTATTATTTTTATTATTCGTGGCTGTTATACTGCCGGCGTAACTTTTCACATCATAACACTTGTGGTGCTCAGAACATACCATAGTTCATAATGTGTCCATGCATAGGCGGACATCGGGTAGGGGGCTTAGCCCCCAAATATTTTAATAGACCCCCCCCAAAATCGAAACTTCATTCGAAATTTTATTATTGCTATAATGCTATTATTTGTTTTAATAATTATCTGTTAATTTTTTTCATATAGAATCAAAAAGAAAAAGAATGGGGCCAAATACTTTAAAAAATTTTGTTGTCAATACATCTACTAGTGACCAATATATATCTAATGATAATACAAAACAGTCTACTGCAGAAGATTATTTCAGGACTAATTTTTTTTATTCTGTCTTGGATGTAGTTATTACAAATTTTAAAAAACGATTTTCACCAGAAAGTCTTATGATGGCTTCATCCATAGATCATTTTTTCAATCTGAATTTTAATGATAGTGTTCATTTTATTAACCATTATCTTGTAAATAYCTARAATTATACYATTCTATATTTCTAYTGATTTATAAATGACAATATAACTATTAGTATATTATTTTATATTAATTTTTAGTCTCTAATGAATATATCCAAGGAATGTCTTAATTCAGAAATGACTGTAGCAAAAAATGTTGTAGTTCAAAATATTGGTTCTGATGTGAATATTGACATAACTAATGTTATAAGAGTTTTGTCAGAAAACAAAACCATATTCCCTAATTTGCAAAAACTATTTACAATAGCATTAACGATACCAATCAGTTCAGCAACTTGCGAAAGAAGTTTCAGTGCAATGAAAAAAATAAAAACTTGGCTAAGGACATCGATGCTTCAAGATAGATTCAGCAACCTTTCTATACTATATATTGAAAAAGATATGTCCAAAAATATTAATAGCAATGATATTTTAAATATCTTTGCTGATAAAAACAGATATTTGCTATTAAAATAAAATTAATTATTAATTATTTTTAAATATATGTTATTATTTTTTTATTATTATAACAAACATTTATATTTGTATTAGTAATATTATATATTTTTGTATAGGAAGGGGGTGCGGGGGCGAAGCCCCTGCGAGTCACTTTACATTTGATTGTTATAGCCCCCCTAAAAATTTAACCAAATGTCCGCCTATGTGTCCATATGATCAAATCTAGTTATTTATATCACAGAATATATGAAATTTGAAATTTCACATAACTATTCTGTTTATATCATGTAGATACTACAGTCTGCGAGACAAACTATTTAATTTAATACCATTTAATACTTTATTAAGTTATTAGGTACTTTGCCACTTTCGACTTATTCCATCAAACAACCAAAGTATTATGTTTGTTATTTAGTATTAGTCATTACTTCATTAGACCATTGTTGTCATCATTGGCGGTGCCGCAGTGGTCGAAGACTGAAGAGTAGATGGTCTTTTGTTATCAGTCGATATCGACACTACCGACCACGCTATACCGGGTAACGAGTATACGGTTTCCCCACTCCGCGAGGAGTGTTGACGCACGACTGCGCACGACGTAGCGGTACGGTGCACCTCGAGGCCCGCCGGTCGCCTCACGCCTGGCGCTTTGTCAGTTCGGCACTGCACAGCGTCCGGGGGTCATCGTGCTGGTCGATGATAATTCGTCGTGCGCGTTTGTAGTGTGAGTACTAGTCGCGACCGTGTGTGCTGTGTCCACCGTCAGCAGATTGACCAGCCGTCGACGATTCGTTTTCCGCATTGCCGTCATCTGCCGTGCGGACGTCGATCACAGACAGCAGACGGACTTCTCCGGCGTGCGACCCAACGAACACGACGACAAAAGATTCTACACATCTCGAAAGCACGTATGTAGTACCATGTACCTTACTGTTGTTTTTCAATTGCACGAGCTTTTCCACGACGAGCGTGTGTGGTGGACTTCCGCGCACCGGTTGTCGCGGTGGGTTCCGAACAGGTCCCGTTTCCCGGTTTCCATCGCCATTATACGGATGTCCCAATCCGTAGACAAATCCGCGCGCGCGCCCTCGTGCCGCACCTATCGGCTACACACCCGCGCGACGTGCACCACCGTGCGTTTTAGTCGTTCGTTGTTCGTATCGTTCTCTCTAGGTATCATCGCCGCCGTTCCTGTTCGTGTATGCCCCCCTCCTCCCCCGACGGCGCATTCCGTTCGTGATGACTGCCGAAAAAATGAGTCGTCCACTGAAATTTTTTGTGCTAGCGAAGGCGACGGTAGCGTTGCGGCAGGTACATCGCAGGCGAACACCCGTATCTCACGGGTGTTGGCCGAGAAGTCGTCGTCCTCGTCTATTAAAATATTTATCGTAAGTCTACTCGTTCGTTCAAAACGTCACTAGTTACCTGTATTGGTTTTATTATTATTCGTATTCGTTGTAATCGTAGTTGTCCGATCTCCACTCTTCTAATCAGCGATAGTACAGTAACAACAACAACAACAACAACAATAATATTATGTTGTTGATATCTCATTGAGTTTACTATTAAAAATTTACAAGTCAACAACTTTGAAAACCTTGACACAAAAAATTTAGTAATTAGTAATTACAGATAGTATAAAATACAAAATATTCAGATACCCATATGCCATATGTCGCCTAAAGTACTGAAATCTTTTTGCTATGTTTGTTGGTTGATTTTGTCCAAATGTTATTTCTATTTATTTTAATTATATGTTATACTTCACTATCAATAGGTACCTACTTAGGTACTAGTAATTTGAAATTCACCAAGGTATTCCGTCGTACATTTCTGTTTGCATTTTAAAATTGTAATGACATTAAATAAATTCTTTGGCTTAAATTAGTGCAGATTTCGCCTTAATATGTAATCAAATTTAATTTTCTAAAATTCTTTGTGCTTAATGGATTTATAAACGAGATACTAGTTTATTTATTTTTACTACTATTATGTATGAGTTTTCTTCCATTAACCTATAAAGAAATTGACTGATGACAGAGTAAAAGAGGTTCAGAGACCGACATTGTTAGAAGTATTCAATTTGGGTAGTTAGTTCCCATTGTGTAATGCAATATGCATTGACTATATTTTTCCATTAATCTTGGAATTTGGCAAACCATAGCAGACTATCGTAGGGTATGGGGAACGGGCAATTCATATGCTTAATAAGTCTATAGTTTTCCATACCAAACTTAATTTGTCATCACTCATCATGTATATTATCAACATTTCAGGAATCATTCAACCTAACCGATTTATATCTTAAATTTCTATATAACCTGGTGTAAATTTAATTTACTAGAGTCACAAATTAGAATTATAACAAAATATATTTTAGTGTTTGTAACTGGTTAGTGCCAGCATAATTTTTGGCTGTCTATCTCTTTAGATATCATAGACAAATTTATGGTCTTAATAATTTAGGATATAGGTATATATGAAATTTGATATTTCAATTGGATGATCTTTTTTCTATCTACTAATTGGGTAGGCACTACTTCCTTAATATTTAAAAAACTTTAAAATTTAAGATCTATAGAGATTGCAATTCCAATTAAAAATATTTTATCTCGTGTTTTTTACCTACGTACATGAAATACCTAATTATTTTTCTTAGTTTAGGTTATTGAGGTCTATAGTTTATTGATAAAATTTGGTATGGATACCACCTTTATGGCAATCTATTGACCACTAATCATTATATCCAGATCATTGTATATACATTTCATGTAAAATAAATATAAATCTTTCCAATTATCAGATATATTTGCATGAAGTTGTGCTTTAATTGTACTCGTTTAAATGTCATTTTTAGCTCTTTTCTAGCTTCTTTGTTGTTGAATAATAATCAAATACTTCAGTGTTGGTAGAATTTGGTTTGTTTTAAGCACCATTTGGAAAAGGAAAAGTGTTTATTCATAGTATTACTCGTAGTATTATATTTAGTCATCAGTAAGTGCTTTCCCACCTTCCTCTAAATCAGTATCTACTTGATAAACAATTTCAATATTGTTTGCAGTGGCGGATTTAGCGTCGGGCAAAGTAGGCAGTTGCCTAGGCCGGCAATTTTAGGCCAATATTTTATTGAAAATATACTATATATAGGTTTCTTTTTGTTTTTCTTATGTATGGTGATTACTTTGAAGGATGGAAAATAAAAATGTTTAATATTTGTATAACATAATATTCTTCATTATTTTATAATACTAATACATAACAATAAACGTCCAAGTAAATAATCGAACGCCGGAACATATATTATCTATTATCTAAATACTAACCATTCATTATATATTTCGTTATTTTGTTTTTTTACTAAGTCGTAATGGGGCGGCAAAAAAAAATTTGTCTATAGGCGGCAATTGTGTAAATCCGTCTCTGATTGTTTGTGTATTGAAACTTATGCACTTTTGTTTCGAGCAGATCATGTAAATATAGCCAGGGCAAGTATCAATCCCTGACGAGCCTGAGTTACGCCATTAGTTACTGTGCGCCAGTTACTTTCTTTATTATCCAGAAATATTTGAAAGCGGTGATATGTAAGCATCCAAGCTAGGCTGTTATGAAATATAATATACTTCAATGACAGATTTTAACATATCACTTTTTGAAGAATACATTTGCAAGTTACATTTCAGATACAGACATATTTGTATTGTAGATACTAGATGTACATCCAGAATGTTATATAAGGTATATAGGTTAGATTTTATTATACTAGGTTTAATATATTCAATAATATCTTTCTTCCTTCATATTATCACAAGATTATTAATTTTGTTGCATACCTAACTTCAATATACAGAATGCCATACTAAGATTTACCTATTGCGATATCTCCTGAAATAATGGAGATATCAAAATTCTGGTTTTGTAATAAGACTCATAGAGATAATAACTACTATTATTTCATATTTTAATTTATTTTAATGTTTTGGTAAAAAAGTTAAAAAATATATTTTTACCAGTTTTTTTATTTAATTATTTCTAAAAAAAAATCACTATAGTCATTTTGTAGGGTTTATTTTTCTGAAAATATTGACATTTCTAAATTTTATTTTCGTTAATTTCTTGATTTTTAATTATTTTTTTTAGTTTCGAGAAAAATTGCGAATTATTAAATTTTGCAGTGTTATCAAATATGTGAAACACTGCGCCGACGCAAGTGATTAGACGGTTGGCCAAACAATTTCAGTATGCCTAGTTATTATCATATTTTATTTCTTAAAAACTAGAAAAAAYATYAAAAATCAGGAAATTAATGAAAATAAAATTTTGAAATGTCAATATTTTCAGAAAAATTAATTCTACAAAATGACTAGTCAATTTTTTTGGAATAATTAAACAAAAAATATATTTTTTTTACTTGTTTACCAAAACATTAAAATAAATTAAAAATGAATAATTTGTATTTCTTATCCCGGGGAGTCTTATAAAAAAATCAAAATTTTGCTATCTCCATTATTCCGTGAAATATTGCAATGCGTAAATCCTCGCGAGACACTCTGTATTTAGTTTAATTTACTTGTACCTTTATAGTTGTGGCTGTGCATATACTACTTCTCTTCACACAATTTTCTTATTATATTTTCATAATAAAATATTATTAATACATACCTAAATTACCTATGAAACAATATTATTGTGTCATTAGTGCATTATTAACCAAAGTTTATGAATTTATGATAAAAGCATTTTGTGACTGCCACTACACAATAATTTGTTCACAAATATACTGCAATGTATGCATCATATGCATGTGTAAATTAGTATTTAAATGTTTGATAGTTGAGTGGGGACATCAGAATTCACGGCAACTCTGTATCAACACTACTACTGGTGCAAACTAAATGCCTATGTAAACATTATCTACATTAGATTACAATATTACCAACGTGGTGTTTCATATTTTTATCAACAAATATAAGGTTAATTATGATGATTTTATAGTAATAATACCTAGGTGTTTTTTAAATAAGAATTTATTTTATGAATTGTTTTTAAAAAATTGCCCACCGTTCTATTAAAACAACACTACCTATCCATTAGCCACCACTAATATCAAGTACTTATAGTATAATATTGTAAAATACGAGGTGATAATTTACAACTTTAAACTCAATCTGATTACATAGGCGTGCGCAGGGGGATGCCGGGTATGCCATGGCATCCCCTGCAGTCTGCAGAGTCAGCTTGTTTTTTTTTTTTTACATTTTTATAAACAGAAATCAGTTTAGACATTTTTGACAGTTCAGGCTACGTATTTTATTTATTTTTTAAAAATTTTTATCAAGTACATTTCCATTGATAATAGAAGTTGGGATAATCCCGAATCCGACGATATCACCGCGACCCGGTGATTGGCATCCCCTGCGAAAAAAGTCTGCGCACGACTATGTCTGATTATACTAGCACTATACTATTTGTCCATATTTTGATAACTGCGTTAAAGCTGGTAGGTATATCGATGTACCTCAAGTAAGGAATCTGTCTTCAGAGTTATTTAATGTAAATATTTCTGATATACCTAAAATACCTAACAACATTATGTTTAGCCATTGATGCAGACGACACTGCACTACTTAGTTCCGGAAATGATGCAGATGAAATAGTTAACTTACTACAATTGTAATTGAGATCTGGTCGTCCAAGTGGCTGGTTACTTAATAAAAATAAATACTGAATTATCTGTATTGGCACAGTTCATGTTAAACTGTTAAAAAAATCCATCCATATCTTAATTTCCAAGACATTTTCCACTTCCCTCTAAATATGATAGGTAATTAATGAATCTTGGTCCATCAAAATCAGTTTACGAATTAACCACCTTAAAATTTCACTCAAAACTACATACATATGCAAATCC